AATATTGAACTCATCTCTCGAATTATGAACAATATTGTCAACCATGTAAAAGCATTGATCAAGTGCTAAACATGAAATAATAACAAAATATTTGAATAGGGTTCAAAAGAAAGCAATCAATCATAATAAATCATCCAAAATCCCAACATATTAATCTACTACCAAGTCTTAGAATTAAATAAACTAGCCACTCATGTTCGAATTCAAATACATAGACATATTAGAAATCGACATGATCAATAAAAGTTCAAAAGGGAAGAAGAAATAAAAACTAGGAATCTTGTCGATCTTTCAATCTTCTTGATCCCTTTGTAGTTGATCTTCTTTTGCTTCCCAATTGCTTCTCTCGTGTGTTCTAGGGATCCTCCAATGTGTATCACGTTCTCCACTCTCAAAATAGGGTAAATATGCCTTTTATAATGTCTAAAACCCATCTCCTTTTCAAAATAGGCAAGAAATAAAAACCAGCCTGCGCGCTCGACACGACCATGCTGCCTGTGTCACGGTTCGTGTCGCAGCCCGTGTCAGGTGCCTGGGCTTCGAAATCTCTCTGTTGAGGTGACACGGCCTCTGACATGGGCATCATGCCCGTGTCAGCTCTGCACACTCCTTTTCTTACTTGTTTCACTCGTTTCTTCTATTTTTTTCATCCGTGAATCAATCTTTCATCATCCCGGGGATCTTAAGTACTCACGATGCGCCTCCAATAGCCACAAGCTCTACAAATATGTGAAAATATCTACAAAACAAGCACGTGTAGTACCTTTCCAACAAGATATAGAATTATAGCAGAATAATGCAATTTATACACCAATAATGCAATGAATAAACTCTAGATACTAGATAAATATGGTGTAAAATCACACATGAACAAACCCCCAAACTTAGACCATTGATAGTCCCGATCAATGCACCAAACTCCTACCAACACACAAGGAAAAACAATCAAACTCTCAAACCCAATCATACACATTGTCAATATGCATCGGGAAAATAACATAACCAAGTTCCGGAATTTTAAGCATAAAGAATGCTCCATCAAAATCATGGTCAATGCTTTAATTCACAAACCTCACCGGATAAGTGTATACTCTCACTCTCAAAAGTGTATAGGGAAATAATCGCTCAAATTAATTCAATGTTGAAGAATTACCATAAGCTTGCAAATCGTCTACTATCTCCACCACTTATTGTGCATGCAATTCATGAATCAAAAAGGACTTTCATTTGGTTGTAATGTAGGCTCTTTGGTTAAGGTAGGAAAAATATGGATAAAGTGACGAAAACTTGAGCATCTAGAACTACAAAACATGAACTTCACAACGTCATCACCTATTAATCAAGATCAAGCTCAAAACAATTTATCTCATACCCCATTTCAATCAATACTCGCAAGCTATATATGAAACTCCAAAATCCAACCAAACCGCCTTTATGTGAGTCAAGGCTAAAATATACGACTACATATACTTATACTTTTTTTTTCAGATTTTTTTCTTTTTTTCTTTTCAGTTTTTTTTTTCTCTTCTTTCTTCTCTTTTTTTTTTTCGACTCTATCAACCTCATTCAACTTACAACATCAATTATAACCCCGTTCACGTCTTCCTTTTATCCACACCACAACAAAACACTCATCCTTTTTTTTTGTTTTTTGTATTCACATGATATAATCCTAAATGTCTAAGTAGGGACAAGGAAAAATATAGATGTAGCTCAATATGTGGCATTCAAAGAAAATAGGCAAAAACTCAAAAGGGTTAACTAGGGAATAAAAATATCATTTGGTAAGATAAAAAGGTCGAAAAAGCTCGAACAAAAATATGCCTTAGACCATTTTCACAAAAAGCATACACCATGTGGTCTCGATAAAGATACCAATGCAAGTTCTAGAATTCAATTAACAATGAATGATACACTCAACAACAAAATAAGGCTCGAAAACTCACAAAGAATCATATATTCATGAATTAAAAGCATCAACCAATCATTCAAATTCACAATTCCCTCAATTCTCAAATTCCTTCACTTAGCACATTATGCCCGAATTCTATATCAAATATGCACAAGAAACTCGTTAAGGTGAATCAAAGTCGACCAACTATAACTACTCAAATCCTAAGAAAGTAATAAACGTGTTAAAGCGATAAAACCTAACATGCAACTAAATGATATGCAAGATATCTTGTTATCTTCTCTCTAAATTTCTCAAATCAAAATACCACATCTCCCCCCAAACTTGAATGAAATTATATGAAGCATAAAAGGGAAGAATAGAATTTTAATAAAAGAAAAATAGAGAAAACTTACAAAACATCATTGGAGAGGTGACAATTGTTGGTATAGAACTCGAAGCATATTCTTCGTCATGTAAAAATCTCCAAGTAATGTTCTGCAAGGAAGAAAAACAAAATATCAAACAAACAAAAAATATAACTAACTAAAAACATAAAAAATAAATAAAAATAAAGCAGTAAATATTGGGTTGCCTCCCAACAAGCACTAAGTTTAACGTCTTCAGCCAGACAAGAATGTTCATTAGGGAACTCTAAATATTGATTTTGATAATCTTCTCATCCTTTTAATTTTGACTATCTACCAGTAGGGACTCAATCCAAAAGAGAGCATCATGTTCTTTTCATGTTCACCAAGTTTGGCATCACTGTCGCTCTCAAACTGAATGACAAAGACTTCAACCTCCTCATCATACGGAATAACAAATTCAATCTTTAAACATTCAGAATCGAAGAACGTCTCTTGAATCATCCCCTCAGTGAGACTATCTGTAGGGAATTTAACTTCAAAGATGACATCCTTCTCTTCTTCATGTTTTTCGACGGCGATAGAAATTTTTGGTGCACTATCTAATGACAAAAAGCATGGAGGAATGAAATCGAGCTCTTCTTACGATATAGGAGGTAAACCAGAAAAAAGACAATTTCCCGGTGTGTGTGACAACATCAAACCACATTCATCACACCCAATGCCTCTCTCCTCGAGTTTTCTCCTACGACGCTTTGAGTCCAACTCAACCTTTTTAAGTTCTTTCAACTGATAGATCAAACACTCCTCATACCACTTTTTATCTTCTTCCGAGTATTTGGGATCACTACGCCAGTCATAGTCTACTGCATCCTCATCCATCATTAAAAGAAAAAAAAAATGTTAGCAAGAAATACAAAAAAAGGTCTAAATTAAAACCAACACTATCTATCATAATATTAATATAAATAATTATATTGGTCCTCGACAACGGCGCCAAAAACTTGTTCGCCTATATTTTTAAAGCTCGACCGCAAGTGTACGGTTTCGCTCGTAGTATATGGCAAAGAAGGTCGTATCCCAAGAGACCAAATAATTAATGTATCAAATACTAGATTATGATAGTGTCAACTTTATTTAGACGATCGATTGAGATGGATTAGCTAAACTAAGAAAATATTATCAATAAGAAATAAAACAAGAATAAAGAACTAGCTAAATAATAGATTCTAAGACTGTGAGTTCAATTAACAATTGGGTTCCTTCAGAAATATCACAACTAAATGTCCTTTATCTGCCCTATAAGACGATCACAAATTTAGCTTATCATCCCTCTCGAGATTGATAAAACCGTAGATTAAATCACATATATTAGCGTCTCCACTCAACACATGCAATTCAACTCCAAATAGATTAAAAGATCTAACATCCTCACAACGACCTACTAATCTCTCGATTCAAGCAAGTAAATTGTGTCAAATATTAAAGACCTAATATTGAACTCATCTCTCGAATTATGAACAATATTGTCAAATATATAAAAACATTGATCAAGTGCTAAACATGACATAATAACAAAATATTTGAATAGGGGTTCAAAAGAAAGCAATCAATCATAATAAATCATCTAAAATCCCAACATATTATCTATTACCAAGTCTTAGAATCAAATAAACTAGCCACTCATGTTCGAATTCAAATACATAGACATATTAGAAATCGACATGATCAATAAAAGTTCAAAAGGGAAGAAGAAATAAAAACTAGGAATCTCGTCGATCTTTCAATCTTCTTGATCCCTTTGTAGTTGATCTTTTTTTGCTTCTCAATTGCTTCTCTTGTGTGTTTAGGGCTCCTCCAATGTGTATCACGTTCTCCCCTCTCAAAATAGGGTAAATATGCCTTTTAGAATGTCTAAAACTCATCTCCTTTTCAAAATATGCAAGAAATAAAAATCAACCTGCGCGAGCGACACGACCATGCTGCACGTGTCACCGTCCTGTCGCAGCCCGTGTCAGGTGCCTGGGCTTCGAAATCTCTCTGTTGAGGTGACACAGGCATGATGCCCGTGTCAGCTCTGCACACTTCTTTTCTTGCTTGTTTCACTTGTTTCTTCTATTTTTGTCATCTGTGCATCAATCTTTCATCATCCCAGAGGTGTTAGGTACTCACGATGCGCCTCCAATAGCCACAAGCTCTACAAATATGTTAAAATATCTACAAAACAAGCACGTGTAATACTTTTTCCAACAAGATATAGAATTATAGCACACTAATGAAATTTATACACCAATAATGCAATGAATAAGCTCTACACATGAACACTGATCAGTGATCACCTCATCTTCATCATTTTTTTTTCTCGTCATCCACATCAACTCACTACAAACATGAAATAAATAAACAAAAAAAATTTATACTTCAACTGTATAAATAATAACATTAACTACTTATTAATTAAAAATCTATATTAAATGATAATTTTTAAATTAAATGAAAAAGTAAATAGTCCAACTCCTTGTTCGCTTTCTCTCGCACAAGCTTTGACATTAAATCCAATTCCTAAAATTGGTAGATTAATATTAATAATCAAATTAAAATTGATATATGTAATATGTGATATAATAACTAAGATGAAATATAAATTATAAATTGATATAAGTTTATAAAATACCTGACTGCCAAGTACAGAAGTCTCGTATTGTTCAACAAACTTTTCATTATTTCATATCTTAAACACACTAAAGGATCCATTGAAGTTCCTGGTCTGATAACTTTTTATCTATACTTTTAAACATAAGCTTCTTCCCTGTCATGGTAGCCAGATCATCTGGAACATCAATTCCATCTGGAACATAATGCCAAAATTAACAATTTAATTTAATATATTTTAAATGTTGCATATAAAAAGTTTATGTAACATGAGCATAGGAAATCAACAATTTTAATAGAGAACTCCACATTTTATTTGTCACCTTCGTCGTTCATGAATATCGATATCGAACCTCTACCATCAGTAGCCGACCTTGGAATGTTAGCTCCATACCTTATATTATTTGAAAAAAAAAATCATAAGTAATAATTAATAAAAAAAATAATAGTACTACTAAATCATTATTAAATCTATTTAAAAATAAAAAAATTATTTAAGATCAAAAATAACAAATTAATCTTACGCTGCAACGAATTTTTGGATTTCATCAGCACTTGTTTGTTTGTCTTATTTTTGTTGTTATTTTCGTTATTAGTTTATTTGTATTTTTTACCCCGTTTTACGTATTTTGTTAGTTTATCAGTCCATCTAATTATTTGTCGCGTGTTAATAAAAATAATATAAATAAAAATGTAACATCTTATAATAGCCCATAAAAAGTTTGTGAAAGCCTTATTATGAATGCACAAACTTGCCCAAAAGTCTATAACGGTTCATTTCTTTAGGCAATTTTCTCAATATGTTTTCATGGGATAATTGACTATACATGTGAACAATCATGTTTCCAATGAACTTTACCATTTTTCAATCTTGGGAAAGCAGCTAACGTACATTAAGTTGTATAATTTGTATTTTGACACGATGTTGAAAAAATAAATGATTACAATAAAGTATATAAGTCTGCAACATTTTTAAGATTTAATGTTTTTTTTTTTTTTCATAGNAATGATTATTGGGAAGATAGTATTCACACAACTATCATTAAGTATAAATCTAAACATTGCGAGTACTTTTATGTATTGCAGAAATTATTGATTTTTTGTATTTTTTTTTTAATTTTTTTTTTTTACATTTTTAACTATTATTATTAGCAAAATCTTACACAGAGTGAAGATCAGATTCTATATACATAGATGAAAAGTTTAAAAGCCAGCAGCTCACAATTTCCAGAGGACTGTGGGCTGAAATGGGTGGGAGCACTTTGGGCCGGCCCATTGAACCCGTGCGGGCTGGGACGGGCCAGACTGGACAGTTCGTTTGGCATTGCTATTAAAGCATATTGAAACTTTTAAACTAAAAAATGTCTGGAAAAATCAAGAATATTTGAATTTTGAGAGAAGGCGTGATACTTCAAGAAACGGTGTGTATCACGCATAATGTTTTTATTTTAAACTAAAAAAATGTAGGTTATTTTGTGAAGACCTTTAAAACATAAAAAAATACAATTTATATATATAAATCTTGCACAAAAACAAACCTATATATTCATAAATCATTCATTAATATATTAACCCACGTAGAAGATAACATGAACCATAACCATTTTATTAGCCATTGTATGCACTACAAATCCTTCTAATTTCTCTATCCGCATTGCAAGCCTTGCATTCAGAACATTCATCATCTTCGCACCATTGATTTTTCCATGGATGTTGTTCTGGACTCGAACAGCACTTTCGTGGCTCGACTAAATCCGAGTTCTTCACCCACATCTCTCTCAGCATCCTCAACAAATTATTTCGCCACATTTTCAACTTGTTTTGTGCCGATTTCGATTTTCTGAATCCGGCGAGCATATTAACGCCCTTCTCTCTCGACTCATCGTCTCCACATAACAACAAGATAATGCACGTCAGATAAGTGGCCTCTCCGTAGCCTAATTTCAAGGCTTTCAGTAAGTGATTGCATGCCGATTTGAGATTGCTTTTATTGAAATAATCAACCTAATTAATCCAAAAANAGAAACTTATGAATTTGGTGTACATTAATCAAATTATAATTCACGTATAGTAAAAAAAAGGGTAAAAAGAAACTTACCACTGCTTGCCTGTACATTGCCTCAGGATTGTTTGATTCGCGACACTTATTCAAAAATGCTGCCTTTTTCTCCATGGATGGATTCCAAGGAATCATCGGGAATTTATTCAGCGATACGCACCGATACAGATATTTATCTTCAGCTATTTTGTTAAATACTTTGCAGCTGATAGAGAACAAGAATGTAAAGGTTAATTAGCTATAGAAGATTGAATATTACCATGCATATACAAAATTATAATGTATTAAACAAGTAAAAAAATAAAACTAAATTTCTACTACTTTCCAATAATCCGTATATATAATAAAGCCAAATCCAGTTAGGAATTAAATAAAGTTCAAAAGGCTAAATTCATTAATGTCAGAGGTAAAACATATGTATACTATAAATTTTCCTAAGAAACGTATTGATGAGAATGCGCTATGCACATATATATATATATATATATATATATATATATATATATTCCGAATTTATGTTTTGTATATCCCAATTAAATAAATTTATATATTTCTGTTTCGTATAAAACTGGTCTTACAAAAAATAAAAGAATAAAAGTTGGGCACGCTAATGATTGGTTGAAAGCATATTCAAGCCTATGCATATATGAACCCGAATACATGTATTAAAATCCAAGGATATGTTTTTTCTTTTTAAGAAATTTGGACTAAGATTGAACATTATAAACTTAAATTAATCCACAAATATGAAATATACCTGGACTTAAGATTGAACAAGTCGGTGTGGGACGAGGCTGCTACTCGACGTACAACTTCGCAAACCAACAGTTCTTCAGGAATTCTTTGGATGAGATTGCAGCTTGTACCTCGATGTCTTGGCATGATTAATCAACTTGGGGTTTTCTTTTTTCTTTTTTTTTTTTTTTTGAANGAATAAATTTGAATTTATATGGATGAAAGTATTTGATTAATCAAGAGGGAAAGCATGCATGAAGCGTATATAACGTTTATTTTATCTCCTAATTCTATTTGGAAAAGGGAATTGCAAAATATTTGGGAAGCAAATAGAATGTTTATATGATGGTCAATGTTTTTTCTCCTCTTAATCCTATTGGGAAAAGGGAATTCCATTAAACCTGCGAATAATTTTGGAAAAAAAATAGATTTTTTTAGTTAGAGGTATCATGTTAGAAAAAAAGAGAGAACGTTGGAGAATATTTTAATGAAATACAATAAAATACACCACTTTAAGTGTTTGCTAATTTAATCACAGTTAAAACATATGTAATAGTAGAATATTTTAATGAAATACGGACTTTATATCTTCCCGTTTGTTTTTTAGAAGTTTAATAAGAATTAAACTATGTTTTCCCGTACGTGAAATTCTATTAGAGAATGTATTTTTTAGACTGAATCTATTTTTGGCATACAAATTTTTTTGATTAAATCTAAATTATTGTGGATGCTCTTAGTTTAAAATTTTATTTAAACAGAAAAATGGTGACTTGGAAAAATGGTCAAATAAAAAATAATATCTTAATTGGTTTCAACATATACATAAATAAAATAACTGGATTAAATTAAATAATAAATACAACTTAAAAGTTAATATTTTTTGTATATTCTATATATGTTATATGAAATTAATCTTTTGACGAGTTTCGAATTGACCTTCATATAAAATAAATAATTTTATTTATATCTATAATTAAATTAAGTTTTCTATTAGTATTACTTAAAAGTAAATAAAAGTATTTCTAATTAAATAAATTCATCTATAAATTTTTCATATGATATGAGTTAGATAAATTATTAATATAAAATGGGTAAACCATGCAAATGATTGGTATTGTTTTATATGAAAATAATAGTGTATATTTTTATAAAATAGTTTAATTTTTTAACAAAACTTCTCTCTCTTTTTTTAATTGTAATTATATTTTTTTAACTAACAANAAAATTATATAATTTAATACTTGAAAAGAAAATATAAGTTAAAAATAAATTTCAGTTAATGAGTACATGATAAATACCTCATGTTCATGAAAAAGATAAAACATGAATAAAAGGTTACCTATTTAAGTTGTTCCCTTATATTCTTCATATTATAGAACTCATCTATCATTGAGTCTGTGTCGATCTTTGTACTAAACTCTCTTTCGATGTAGATAATCAGTGAATCCGCTAAGAACTCTTCTTCTATCTTATTTCAAAGATGAGTTTTAAGAATCTTCATTGTTGAAAAAGAGTGTTCGGTTGTTGCAATAAAAACGAAAAAAGTCAAAATGAGACGAATCAATATGGCAATCAAATGATAGTGTCGTGCCTTCTCCATCTCAACTAATTGCTAACATAAATAAAAAAATGGTAGAAATATTTTGGCACTTTTTGTTCTGGACAACATCAACATTAATGTAATGCTCTAATTGGCTCCTCAAATAGTGTAACTTTTGTCTAGTGAAATTATTGGGATATAATTTATCGACAAGATTATATACATCATCTCCATTAAACAACTTAACGTTGTCTCGAGGCTCCAATGCAGAGCTAAGCTTAAGAAGTTCAATAGCCCATCGTTAAATTTGTCACTAAGCTCTTCCACTTAAAATCAGTCATAGCATTAAACACGTCAAAGCGGTTATAATGCTCAACTGTAGTAGGAAACTTCTGTAGGCACGAACATCCCCTAGAAGATCGATGACAAGCACTAATATACGGTATCTCGATACCATTCTCTTCACAAAATGATAGTACATATGTAAGAAGAGTATTGAAACCTTATTCTTTCAAAGTATAAAGCACTGATTTTGTATTTGACACAAAATCCATTGCATTTAAAATATCCAAATTCTTTTCTTGCAAAGAATGACAAAGCAAATTTGTGATCATCGTTATCTTGTGCATCGGATATAGTATAAATACGAAATAAAATGATCATCTCATCGTAATTAAAGCACATGTGGCTTCCCCACGTATAGAATTAGAAGTTGTTTCTTCCGCCATATGCTCGAGAATGGTAATCACGAAACGATACATATCTATTATACTGTAAATGGACTCAAAATGAGAGCTCCAACGTGTCTTTTTAGCTCGCTGCAAAGTTCCAATTTAGTTAAGTCTCGTACCTATTTCACATAAGAGGAGGTCAGGTGGTCTGAGGACATGATATAATATACCTAAAGACGAGGTTGGGTTAGACCTCAAGACAAGGTCAGAGAAGTCCTCGTAAAGGCCATAACAGAAAGGATGGGAGGTTGGACTTACAACCTAAGGATCCCCGGGCTAAAATAGTAAACAAGGAGAAAAATCCAAATAAAAAGGAAAGAATCACTAGCTCATGGGCTTGCCAAGATAGAGACGTGGAAAGTTAGGGAAGTAGAATCCGGGTGAATCTCTTCCCTAACAAAAACTCTCTTCAGTTGCAAGATATTAAGTCCTATAAAAGGACGACATGTTCTCTCTAATTACACAACACACAGTTCACGCTTTATTATATATTCCGTATATTTAACAATTGAACGAGTTCTGACTTGAGCTTCAGGAGAATTTTCCGCTGGGACTCCCCCTCCCGGCGTGTTGTAGGTTATCGGAAGATCAAGAAGGAGGATCTTTCAAGATGGACAGTGTTCAACCCAATTGTGACCAAAGGTGATGTATCAGTAACGGTGACTGCATTCAACATATGTTTTGGGCGCACCGATCGCCACCGCATCGTCTTTCATTTTACTCAACTCCGTCTTTGTCAGAGTAACGAGCTGTTGACCTGCTGGCTCGACTGCATTCCTTGGTGGTCCCATTGGCATGACCGCTGCTAGATCCGGTTGCGTCTACGGTGGAACCACGACCTCCATACCTTATCTGACCTCCCCCTGGTTGTTTTGGCCTCCAACAACAACATGGACCGCCAATGAGCTCCCTAAGCCCATAGGGTTAAACATCAGGGCCTGAAACAGCTCAAAGAAACCTGACGGTGGACCTGCTCTGAGCAGATGTGTGGTGGTCCATCCATCGTCGAAAGTAGACTCTAAGTTCTTCTTGAGAGCTTCGTTCGCCATGGCTATGGTGTATCAATTGCTTTTTGAACGAGTTTCCACGGACGATGCCAAAATGGTGTGCAACGACCTCAATCTCGTTTGCACGACCCGAATATGCGTTCTGAGCTGTTCGTAGACCTGCAAAATGGGTCAGGAGGGGTTCCCGACATTAGCATTCCGACGATCAAATCAGTCCATAGTAATGAAAATGATGAACAATAAATATAAAGCTCTACAAGTATATAGAGTGTGTAGATTGCAAATGAGCATACCCATATAGAGTGTGTAGATTGCAAATGAGCATACTCAATGACGGAGGTGTATTGGGTCCAGGGGGGCCCATGGGCCCCCTCATTTTTTTTCAAATTAATATATATATATATATATAGGAAAATACTATATAAAAATGTAAAAAAATATTTAAGATATGTTAATAATTAGAACTTATTTTTATGTTAATTTAATTTAAATTATTAATATTATTTAGTTATTAAAAAATGTACTAACAATCCTTATATTTTCCATTTCTAGAACAGTTTTTGAAAATATTTATAATGATTTTCGGTCTCTTAATTGTAAATCGATTTAGCAATTTATAAAATCCAATATATAGTTGGATTGTTACATTTTTGAATGTTGGTTTTTTACTTTTTTTTTTTTTTGTGTAATTACATATTTTTAAATTAAGTTATTTTCTTCTTAAAACAATGTTTATTTGATAAGTTCTTATCAACAAAAAATGCTATGCAATGTGCTGCAAAAGTTCGATTTAAATCAATTTTTCAACAAAAAAACTTATTTTTCCACAAAGTATAGATGTTGAACTTAAATTATACATACATAAAATCACATATTTTTTTTTGTTTATATTTTTTTTAAAAGTTTGAGGGTGATACGGATTCTAAGTTTTTAAAAACATGATGATACACATATCGATATTTATATTTGTAGTAAATACATTTTTTTACATGAAATGAGTGTTTGAACTTAAACTACAAGCTCGTTATAACATTTAAAATCGGGCCCTCCTGAGTGAAATTCCTAGATCCATCACTGAGCATACCTCACCCTTTTATATAAGGGTGTTACTTTGTTGACCAAGACTGTCTGAATGAGCTGCCTGAATTGTCCGTTCGTATTGTTCTAACCGCCTAATTATGTTAGGCCACGATTGCCCTATCCATGTGTGGTTCTTATCCTAATAATATTCCTTCTTATCTTTAGTCTTCTAAATGAGACGGTTTTACCATATGATATAGGATATTATACTGGACCGGTTTTAATGGATAAAAAAGGAATATATTGAAGAATAAGCCTACACATGGCTAGGACACGTGGCATGAGGCTATTGGACAAGCCCAACTTGGGCCATAAGGTACACTCCCCCTATAAAAGGGGGCTAATGTATCCCATTCACACATTCTCTCGACATTCATAAATATACCCTTGGGATTTAGAGTGATTCTGACTTGAGCGTCGGAGGCCCGACGCCGGGACCCCTTCCGGCGTTGGGTTCTTGCAGGTACGGAGGTCGTCCGAGTTGAAGGAGCCCGGGTGAAATCTTATTCACTTCATTGGCGCCGTCTGTTGGACCCTTTCAAAAATCCAAACAGTGTTCCGAGCGAAAAATTACGAAAATCTTCTTTCAACTCTACCGGCCGACGTGCTCCGATTGCAAAATTCTTTACGTCATTGGGTAGATCTCTTCGAAGTGAATCTCCCTTTAAAATTTCATGCGAAAATTCCAGCGGGAAGATCGTTAATTTTGTGGTCAAAGTTTCCAGATCTAGCAAAAATTGGTCAAAATCGAACATTCAAATGCATTTTTCCGACGATCCGTGAGGGGTA